GCCGCCGTAATCGGCGGCGCGGCGGCCAAGGCCGCGGCGGAGCTGCCCGCGCTGCCGGAGCTTGCGTTTGAGGTGCCGGCCCTGGTGGTGTCGAAGGACGAGGCTGACGCGGCGCTGACGGAGGAGCAGAAGAAGGTGGGCGTTGATAAGAGGGGGGGTAAGCTTAGGTGTCGGGCTTGTAGAGGCTGGACAGGAGTGGCATGCTTCAGGCGTGGGGGGATCCTGTGGCGTCGTGGGGCTTGCTGCTCGCCCGCATCGCGCTTGCCGCCCAGCCGTCGCGCTGTGGCCCTGCCGGCCGCCAACGTGAATCGGCCCCCTGGCGGCTCCCCTCTTTGCCCTCAGGAGCTGATCCGCGAGGAGAACAAGCGCAAGGCAGCCGAGGCCGCCGAGCGCAAGAAGCGCCGCGAGGAGGCCGCCGTGCGCAAGAAGCAGGCCGCCGAGGAGGCTGCCAAGCGCAAGGGCGACGAGCCCGCCGCGGTGCCCGTGGCGGCGCTGGCCCCTGCGCCGGCGCCGGTGGCGCCCGCCGCCGTTGCCGAGGACGCCGGCCCCGTGGCGGCGCCCCAGGCGGAGGCGGAGGCGCCCGTGGCGAGGCAGCAGCAGCCGAGGCAGCAGAAGGTGCAGCAGCGCAAGCCCAAGGGCGCGCCGGTCATCAAGCCGGAGCCGGTCGGCATGAAGCGGCCGCGCGGGGAGGAGCCCGCGTGGCGCAAGGCCCTCAAGGCGGTCGGGCTGGAGTCCTCCACCAACCAGGCGGTCGCGATGTGCGTGGCGCTCATGCTGCTGATCTTCATCGTGCTGGTGGCGCGGTGATGCGCCAGGGCCCCATCTCCCGCGCGCACACGTGCGCACAGAGCGATGAGTCCTGCGGCGATGTGCCGCGCGGCACGGCCTTCGCATCGGCAACCTGGCCTATTTCTGGCCCATTTCGGGGCGGGCGGCCCCCCGGCCGCCACAGGACCTCGCATCGGGCACCTGGAGTCCGTGAGCTCTTCTCAGTGGCAACAAAGAGCGGCGCCCCGCCGTTCTGCCTATTGGAATGGGGCCTAGGGCCCTCAAACTCTACCCATCGCCCTTCCCTTGCGTAGCAGGCGGATTGCTAATGTGTGCAGCAGTAGCCTCGCCTTGCCCCCACAGTGGTGCCACGGCACATGCAAGATCTTGACCTCAGTCCTGTAACCTTCCTAAAACAATGCGCATTTGTATTGACGTGCTACTCTGTTTACCGAAAAGGCACCTTCACCACAGCCGTGCAGTTGGGGCCAGGCTTTTTACTTCATGGCCGTGCCTGAAAGCAAAGGGCTCGAAGCGGGCGTGTTGAGTTGCAAGTTGATGGCAGTCAACGCAGTGTGTATAGATCCGTGCCAAGAACAACTTGATGTGCAGCGTGTGCTTATGGCTCAAAGCACGACAACAGCAGACTTGCAGGGACCGGCAGCAAGCACAGATGTGTCAGGCCCTCAAACAGGAACGATGACGCGGCTGGCCAGGACGCGTGAGCTCCCTTGGTGTTGGGCGCACAGCTCCTACCGATTTTCGCAGCCTCTTTGAGTCCATATTGCAATCAGAGCCTCCTCAAAGAAGGCAGCGGGGCATGCAGCCCACTCAGCAAAACGCCCCAGGAACAACAAACATCCCACCTAATCAAACATCCTCTGGAGAACCCCACTGGCGGCAGCAGGGATGCTGCAGCCCCGCCCATCAGCGCTGCGTCATCTGCGCCAGCCGTGCGGCCGCGCGTTTCAGCATCAGCACCTCCTCTGCCAACAGCGCGTGCTCCTCTGCACGGCGCCCCTTGGCGGGCTCCTCCAATTCCATGGGTGCCGCCGCGGCAGCTTCCCAGAAGCTGGGGTGGCTGGCGGGCGCCAGGGCAGCGTCGAGCAGCGGCGCAAAGAGCTCGCTCGGTCCGGCTTCTGCTGAGATGTGCACTGCAGGCGGCCAAGGCGGTTTGCGGTGTGTGGGTGACGAGCAGCTCCATGGCGGCTGGCGTTGGCAGGATGCCATCCATTGCCAAGCACGACCCAGCAATGCATGGCCAGCATGCTGCATTGTTGATGACTCCCCTGCCGGGCAAACCCTGCTCGTCCCACACGCGTCAGAATTCCGAGTCCTGTCGCTCCACCCGCTCAGCACTCACGCTGCGTCTGGTGGTCCCACAGCACGTCCAGCAGCGTCACGAAACGCATCGCGCAGTCGCGCTGCTCAGGGTGCAGGAACGGCACGCCCTCTATGAAGACCGCCGTGCAGCCGCTCTCAGCCAGGGCCAGGCAGTCCATCGCGGACAACGGCGCGCTGCCGTCGCGGCTGCCGCCAGGTGCGGGGTCCAGGCCGCCTGGGGGCCGCAGGCCCTGCGGTCCAAACAGCCGGTCGAACTCAAAGTATGCGGCCAACAGCGGCGGCTCCCCCTGCGGCATTGGCTCAGCCTGCTGTCCCCGCTGTACAAGTGCGCCCAACGCTTCCTGCTGGTCCGAAGTCTGCGAAACGTGCGGCTGTTGCTGCTGCAGCCGCCGCCCGTCCTCCACCACGAGCGCCTTGGGCACAAAGAGCTTGTCGCGCCCAAAGAACTTGAAAGACACTGATGTCGCGCACTCGCGGCCGTTGCTGCATTCCACCAGCCGCCGCCAGCTGTCCCTCAGCCGCGCGACACCGTCGCGCCCTTGGTAGCAGTGGCTGCTCTCGCGCTGCTGCTGCTCCTGCTGTTGATCGCGCCCGGCTTCTGCTGGTGCAGTCACGGCGTTGGCGTTATTGTAGATGGGGCCGCCCGACAAGTTGAGCTGCAGCAGGTGGGTGTTGCAGAGCTCCACAAAAGGGCCCTCACGCTCGATGCCCAGCTGGACATCGTGCACCAGCTCGTGCAGGGGCCGGTTGCTCTGGTACATTATGTGGGTGCGCGTGAATTAAAACGCACGCGTGCGTTTATGTGTGCGAGTGCATATGTGCGTGCGCGAGTGCGCGAGTGCATGTGTGCGTGTGCGTATGTGCGCCCGTGCGCACACGCATGCGTGATGTATAGGATGTGCATGCACTCGCAGCAGCGTTCAATCAGTCAAGCCAAGGCTGCAGCAGCAACTGCCCACAACGTTCCCATCCAAAGCAGCCACGGTTGCTGCCACGCCCCACACCATCCCACATCGACCGCACTGACCCGCACCGACCCGCCCTGCTCATCGGCCCACCAACCCTGCGCGGCACCCACCATGAAGGCGAACCAGCAGCCGCGCAGCAGCAGCTCTTCCAGCAGGCGCGCAAAGGTGGCGGCGTCTTGGCGGTTTTCCGCTGCCACTTTCTCAATGCACAGCAGGTGACAGGAGGCCGCCAGGTCGTCCGCAACCAGGTCAAAGGGATCCTGGGGACAGAAGTTGGTGGTCAAACGCGCGTGTGGATGCTGCCTGCTGTATGTGTGTGCTGACGAGCGCGCGACATGCGCATGTGCACGTGCGCATTGTGAGAGGTATCTTTGTGACAGTAAAGTGGTGGGGACATGCGTGTTGCACACCTCGGTGCAATTGTTCACATGCTGAAAACCCACCTCGCCTTCGATCTGGGACGCACTGCGCCACAAGCGGAATGCGGAGAGTGTCCAGCATGAGTGCATGGTCGACGTCGGGAAGCCTAGGCCAGACGCGCAGGCTGATGATGGAAGCGCTTGACACACAGTGGTGGTGTGAGGCTGCCACATGCAGGTGATCCCTGCTTCATGCCAGTCTATCTGCTCGACCCTCTCGCCCGCTGACCACAGGGGCCCCCGGGATTTGCCCTGACGTGCCTGCCCAAAAAACAATGCCGCAGCTGAAGGGGGGCTCACGTTGTTTCAGGCGACATCACGGCCTCCAGCTCGTGGCACCGCTCCTCGACGTGCCGCAGCAGCCAGGGGAGGCTGTGGTGCCGCATCTTGACCACGGGCGGCAGCGTGCGCGAGAAGAGCTGCATGATCATCTTCTTCCCGCGCCCCGGCGGACCCCACATGTACGCGCCCTGGACCCCCGACGGCCGGCGCCCAAGCACAGCGGGGTCGGTGGGGGCCGCGCTGCCGGCGGCGCATGCGGCTGCGGCCGTCTCATGGGCGGCCTGTGCGGTGAGAACGCCTTGCAGCAGGTGCAGCGCCTGGACAGAAGCGAGTTGGCTGCCATCCGGCTGGATGCTGCCGAAGCGCACGAGCCTGATGCGTCCAGGCCAGTGTGGGGAGTGTGGGGTGAGGTCTGGTAGCTATAGGGTGGGTTGGGGTGGCGAGGATTGGGGGTCTGGGGAGCTTGCTGAACCGGGCAGCTAGCATGGACGAGCCTTGGCATCGCCCAGCAAGGGCAGTGCCTGGCCTCTTGCAGTGCCAGAAGAGGGACATTGGTTGAACCTGTCTCCGATGTCCATTACTCATCAAGCTCTTGGATGCGTCAGCAGCCGCATCGCACGACTCAGCGTGTCAGCACCACTGCACTGGTCGTGCCCACCTTTGATAGGCCGCCAAGATGCCTCCACCCGAGTCATCGGCGGCTGTCCAAAGGAAATTGATTGATCTCAATCTGCATGTCACAGGAGGAAGCGCCCTGGTGGCAAGCCGCTGCAGCATCGGAAGTGTTTCGACAGCCCTGTGGCACACGAGGGACGAGCCCGTTACAGAGAAAGGAATATATATGGGAATAATACCATTTATAGATGGTCCTGAAGTGCCGGGACCGTATAAAAGAAGCTTCATTCACCGTGGCCAGATCTTACGCCTGCCCACCGCACCGTCTTTGCACCGTACCGTCTGCGCGAACGAGTACTTCGCTGATGCAACCATAATAAGTGGTGTTTCAGGTCCTTGTTATCGTCGCTGTGCATGCAATACATTGACTGTGCGCTGTCATCCTGCGCTCGAAGTTATGCAGCGTGTACAGTCGCCGCTTCGTCACTCCGCTGCGGTATACAGAACACAGCTGAGAGCTTGACGTAGGGAAATGACATCAGCAGCAGCCTGAGCTCTAGTCTACAACACTTGGCGCAACCTAGCATTGTATCGCCACAGTATCTATTGTGCACCTGTATACCTTGGAACGTGCCCAATGGTCCGTGATGCTGACAGATGCTCAGCACAGCCGTCGCTGGTTATAACGGCAAAGGAGGAGGAGAAATCACTGCTTGTCCAACAGCTTACACAAAGACATGCGCAACGCAAAGCAGCCAAGCAGGCACTCCTGCACGAGGGCGCGCTCGGACGCCTTCGTTGGGTTTTTGGGGGGACTAATTGCAGCTAGACTCAGCCAGAGATCCCAACACCTGGCGCGCCGCAGGCTTCAAGGTGCCTTGAGCACGAGAGCCAGTTTTGTCGGATGCAGCCTGCGCTTTCACACCCAACCGCCCCTGCTAGTGGCACGCGCAGCCTCTGCGGCGTGTGCAGCCAGGAGTTACGGCCGCTTACTTGCGCGTCAAAACTGGGCTCCTTATGCTATTGCTGACGCAGCTTGCCACACACGCCCAACCCCATGGACAAACGCTGATTGCAACTGTAGCTCTAGGCTGCTATAGCAGCCCCTACCAAAGAACAACACTGGCTGTGATGCTCGACACCTGCACAGGTTTGCAATATGGCTGGGAACCGCAAATAAACCGGCCACCTCGCTATGACTGCAGTGCGGCCTTGGGCGCACCGTTGCCGCTGCTGCTGCTCGCGCCCCCGCCGCCCCCGCCGGCCGTTGCGCCCCTGCCGCCAATGCACTCTTTGTTGTGGCCGGCCTTCCAGTGAGCCTTGGCGCACTGAGGGCCGCAGTACCTGCGGTCATGAGTGCGCACACGCGCGTGTGTGTGGACGTGGATGTGGAGTTGCAGTTGATGCGTGTGCATGCGCACACTTGAGTGGGCATTTTGATGCACGCCTGGGCGTGTGCATGCGTTTCGTGTGAGCAGCGCGCGCGGCTCGTGCAGTGCTGCAGGCCCTCACACCCCTCTCGCTGCGTCCATCCCGCCCAGTAGTGGCACACGGCTCGGCGCATGCCGCCAGGCTGCTAAGAGGTGATGCAATGTAGCAGGGCAAATTCAGCTCTCCCGCGGCGACGATGTGGCCATTCAGCAAAGTGGCTAGAGGCAGTGGTGGTTGTAGGGGGCTCAACAGATGACAAAAGCCAAGGTTGCCCTGCGCTCACCTCGGTATCCCGCAGGCGCCGCACTTCTTAAATTTCGAACCGTCCTGCGCCTGGCCCTGTCCGCAGGCGGCGCACGGCGCCCTCGCTTTCGGC